AGATTCTAGATTGTAATTTGTCCGTGTTACTGAGTGAAAAAGTATATAGCTTTTAGTGACATGTATACTTAGTCAACTGTTCTTTAGGACCAGAAGCCTGCCACATGTGTACTTTTCTTAGAATGTGACATTTGAAACATTTAATTTGAAATTTCTGATGTTTGTAGCTCTTTTTACATATTTATGGGTTGTTCCCCAGTCCAGAATTTTGGTCCATTTTTCTAGAAAAGGAAAAGATTACTAAATAGACTTTGATAACATTTGTCTAAAAACCGGAGAGGTATAATGAAAACTCACCTGTAGAGGAGGAAAATGATCCTCTAACTTTCTTTTAAATTTTTCTTATTTTTCATCTCTCTCTTTTCTAATTTCTGGGAGGTTTCCTCAATTTTAAATTCTACTTCTGCTATCATATTTTAAATTTTGTTGAAACCTTTTCCTTAAGTGTTCTGTTTTCTATGGTATTCTGCCCCTACTTCATGGATGGAGTATTTTCTGTAATCTGAGAATACTACTCATAGCTCTTTGTGTTCTCCCCGAGTAGTGATTGTTTCTTCCAAATTGCCTTTATCTGTTTTGGTCTGTGTCTTTCATGTTTGTTGCTTTCCCTGGTTAGCTTCTCGTTTAGAATCCTATGAAGGCCAAATCCTCATACCTAGAATCCTTGCCTGCTGTTCCATGTACTTCTTTGTTTGCCACAAAGTATAATAGGAAAGTAGCAAAAGACAGCACGTAGAAAATCCAACTAAAAGTGCTTAAAATTCTTTTTTTTTTTAAGGTTTATTTATTTTTGAGAGAGAGAGACAGAGTGTGAGTGGGGGAGGGGCAGAGAGAGAAAGAGAGAGACAGAATCTGAAGCAGGCTCCAGGCTCTGAGCTGTCAACACAGAGCCCGACGTGAGGCTCGAACCCAGGGACCACGAGATCATGACCTGAGCTGAAGTCGTTAGCTTAACCAACTGAGCCATCCAGGCATCCCTAAAAGTGCTGAGAATTCTAAAACTGCTTGCACTTAAAGCAGAAACCTCACATTTAACATCATAATACTGAAATTAAGCCTGAAGTTTGAAAACGTCTTTAAGCATTCTTTGAAATATCCATTTTAGGGTGTTTGCCAGCTTCCCAGTAAAAATGATGAAAAGGAGTATCCACACAGGAGAATTGATATAAGGTATTACTCAAAATTTGTTGCTGACCTATTAAATTTTCCCTTCTTTTCTCTTTCCTTTGTCTTCTGTATATCTTGGAATTCATATAAATGTCTAGAACCCCTTTTCATTCTGAAGGGCTGTATGTTCCTGCTATAGACAGTGTGCAGCCTGAAAATATGTAAAGAATAACGACTGTCTACAGAATCTAATCTATTTTCTCTAGATTTGCATCTCACCATGATGCCTTCCACAACTCAAAAGTAGTTTCCTGCCGGAGGAACGTTGGTTGTAATAAGTGATACTGCTTTTCGTTTCTCCACACCGCTTGCCAGAGCATAGTTTACTGAAACCTAGACTAACTGCAACGTCGGAGGAATTTGAACAGTCTACCTAATGATAGTCTCCTCCTTAGGTTATTAAACCACATAGACTTATTTTAGGTGTTTTGTGCCTTATTGATTATAAGAGTCCTATTTTTGCTAGATTTGAAATGTGTGGTCAAAGATTTGTTTATTTATTTATTTTAGGTTGATACCCAAGGATCAGTATTACTGTGGTGTTCTCTATTTCACTGGGAGTGATATTTTCAATAAGAATATGAGAGCTCATGCCCTAGAAAAAGGCTTCACAATCAATGAATACACAATCCGTCCCTTGGGAGTCACTGGTGGGTATTTGTGTGTGCATTAGAGATAATCCCAGTCATCTGGAGAGAAAGTTATTTTCAGATATATTTTGGTTTAGCAACTTTGATTCCTCAAAAAAGCCTTTAAGTAATTATGCCAGTTAATTGTAGTTTCTTTTATTATGAGTCCCTCAGGCAACAAAGGGTCTTTAATCCATACGTGCTATCAAGCCCTCATTTGAAGCCCATGATGGCCAAAGTTATTTCTAGCTCTATTAGAATGTATTAATGTGATGGTCAGCAAAAAAAAAAATCTTACTGGTTTAAAGTGGGTTTGTTTGTTTTTAATGTATCTCCGAGACTTCTGAAGTACCCAGGTATCATTGCTTTTAGTATCAGGCCAACCTTGGTAGCTTTGGCCACTTGCTTTTAAAGTTTAAAGAGTTGGGGCGCCTGGCTGGCTCAGTCGGTAGAGCATGCAACTCTTGATGTCAGGGTCGTGAGTTCATACCCCACATTGGGCATAGAGCTTACTTTAAAAAAGATTTTTAAATAACAAAAGAAGTTTAGGGGCACCTGGCTGGTTCAGTCAGTGGAGTGTGCAATTCTTACTCAGAGTTGTGGGTTCGAGCTACATGTTGGATATAGAGTAATCAAAAACAAAATTAATAAATGAAAAGTTTAAAGAGTAAGAATTGCTTAATCTGTACTTGTTGATATCTCACCACTGTATGGTTTACTATTCTCTACTAGGAAAATGAAGATTTTGTCATTTTGTCCTCAAAGTATAAAATAGAACTTTCTTCCCTGGTAGACAAGGGCAGTGCTTCTCGCGTATAAACATGTGTATGAGCCACATTGGGACCTCATTAAATGAAGACTCTAATAGGGGGGCCCAAGATTCTGCATTTCTAGTAAGCTTCCAGGTGATTCCCGTACTGCTAGTCCAGAGACCACATTTTAAGCTGCAAAGGAAACTAGAGTATTTCATATCATGGGAGCTCTAGTGGAGATCCAGCAGAGAAGGAAATCATGAATTAGGATTTCAGTGGCTCCAGTTGGGATGCTCAGGTTACTTTTGTAGGACGATTAGTATATGTGACAAAGCTCAAACATAAGCCATGTGGGAGGATGGGGGGTGGGGCAGTCAATATCATTTTTTGGTGACTTGGTTACCATTTTCTTTTTCTTCTGAAAGTGAGCCCCATACAGCTGTCTTCCTTGCACCCTCATAACCAAATTCCAAAACTGGCTTGTAGGTAAGTTTCTTTTCTCTCTGTACTTTTAGGAGTTGCTGGAGAGCCTCTGCCAGTGGATAGTGAGAAAGACATCTTTGACTACATCCAGTGGAAATACCGAGAACCCAAGGATCGAAGTGAATGAGGCCTGTTCTTCCCAGACACAGCTCAACTCAACAGGAGTCTTAATTTATTTCTTAACCTTTGCTATGTAAGGGTCTTTGGTGTTTTTAAGTGATTATTTCTTCTTCATGCTTTAGCTTGCACTGTAGTCAATAAAGCCTCTCTTACTATTATCAGAGAATCTTATTCTGATTTTATTAGGAAATAGCATATCATGTTAACATGTGCGATCACACTTTACTAAGGATTTAGTGGAAAGAATGAAGAGATGAGATGTTAGCAGTGTTCAATGGGAATTTTTATTTTCCCATTTTTTTTTGCCCTTATGCTGTATAAGCCACATTACCCTACCACCTTTCTCTCCTATTTACTAATTACAATTACTCAGGATACACCAGAGACTGGTCACTGGAAGATGGTTCAGTGTTTTTTAGAAATTAGGGACCTTCATAAATGTAATTATTTTCTTTGGTTGGCTTGGCCCCCACATTCAATTTTGTCATATATACTTAAGACCTAAGTATAGGTTAATCTCTTAAATCTGAAATCGGTTGTAATTCATCAGAAAGAACTTACCTAAGCAAAACCACTTACAATATGCACCTGTATGTACAAAATATGGCCTCTTCAACTTCAAACAAACAAAAATTTCACTTATTTGCTCTAGTTTTCCTTCAAGGTAACTTTTTAAGTTCAAATGGTCAAACATATAAGTAAAAACACTCCTTGAAGACCTTAGCTTTGAAATTATATAATCTATATAGTAAATTAATATAATTAAATAATATAAGTTAATGTAATATAAATTAGATTAATTTATATAATTAAAAGTTATATAAATATAAAATGTAAAAAGTTATCAAGTGTTTAAGTAAAGCTATTGAAAACAATGCATGCAAATGCTTTGTAACTTGCAAAGGACTATATTCACATAAAATGTTACCTTTTGAATCTTATTTCTGTTTTTTTTTAATGTTTATTTTTGATAGAGAGAAAGACAAAGCATCAATGGGAGAGGGGGAGAGAGAAAGAGAGACACAGACTTTTGAAGCAGGTTCCAGGCTCTGAGCTGTCAGCACAGAGCCCGATATAGGGCTTAGAATCACGAACTGCGAGATCATTACCTGAGCCAAAGTCTGACGCTTAACTGACTGATCCACCCAGGTGCCTGAATCTTATTTATTTATTAACCAAATTATTTTGTAGTGAAGTGATATTTCCCTGACAAGAAATGAAAGAAAATAAATGAGGGATTTTAATATAATTTTTTTCCTTAATTTACTGTGATAGTTTTTTGCCAGTAAGATACAAGAATTAACTGCAGAAACCTTCACTTTTGTCCCCCAAGCTACTGTCGGGTACCAGAATTTCACTGGAAATGAAATAAAGATTTATTTGAACTAATTGAGTCACTAGATCAAATTAAACTTTTCTGTTGTGGAATCACATTTCTTTCCTGCAGAAATAGACAAAAAGCCAAAGCTGGTTTTCATTCATCACAAGGCAGCACATCACAGTGCTCTGACTCAGTCTATCTCAGTTGCTACAAGATTTGATTTTCAGGGACATATGTATGGAAAGTTTTTTATTTTAAGTTTATTTCTTTTGAGAGAGCATGAAATGGGGAGGGGCAGAGAGGGGCAGAGAGAATCCCAGGCAAGCTCTGCAACGTCAGCACAGAGCCCAAGGCGGGACTCAATCCAGCTAATTGCAAGATCACAACCTGAGCCGAAACCAAGAGTCAGAGACTTAACCAACTGAGCCACCCAGGCACCCTTGTATGGGAAAGATTTCTTAAATTAATGTCTGAGATTTCTGTTTGAATACAATAAGGAGTTGTCTTTATTTTGAAGTATTTAGTTTTTTAGATTTTTTGGCATACTCTTAACCGTGTGTGTTGTTGGTTGCCGGTCACTTGATTTCGACATATTAGTCCAGGACCACAGTCACAGCGCTGGAAGATTTCTGGAGCCTGAGCGGTATCTTTATGCCCTCTCCTAGAGCAGACCTGTCCCTCCAATAGAACTGGCTTACAAATTTTAGTCCAGAAATGACGAGCACAGCAGAGTCCAGCTCCACAGTCCAAAGTTCTAAGGCATCTTTCTCCCTCTTGTCCTGTAACAAGATTTGTAAGGGCTGCAGCAAAAGTGGGGAAAGTGGCACGTGAGGGGGTTGTCGCTGGGGTAAAGGTGTAGGATATAGAACTGAAGGCCACAAAGGAAGAATAAAAAGAGCATGCAGGTCTCCCAGAGCTAGATCTACTAGAAGTATATGAAATGGAAATTTCAGCCCTACCTAATAGAATTTGTTTTATAAAGTTAAAACATTTTCAAAGGACGATGGGATTTCCAGTCTTGAGGAATGAAATAAGCATCCCTTATCAGTGTTTTTTTTTTTTTTTAATGGGATTTTTCCTGGCATAAAAACCATCACTTATAAAAGGGCCTGTTAACCTGAAGACACAAGAATGGCCAACTCACTGCTTTCAAACATTCTACTTAATTTCTGTCACAGATTGGAATTTGAGACTACAATTTTGTAAAAAGCTTCATTTTAGTGGTTTGTATTTTGTTTGAGAATAAAAAGTTAATGCATTTACTTTCATTTCTCTTTTTTCTCTTCATTTTTTATCCTGAGGATCTAGAAAGGGAAACTGCCATTTGTTAAATTACAGACTATAAAAAGATACGTGTGTAAAATTCAATTAAAAATCTTCTTGCTAACCAGTTCATTATTATGGCTATTCCCCTGTCCTCTTGCTGACTGCTTATGTTACTCCCTGCATGATCTCCATAGCTGCTTCCAGAAAGAGATGAGAAACAAGACATACTCCTTATGTGTTTCTGGAGTGGAGAGGAATCAAGTCAGTTTCAGCCTATCCTTAAAGGACTAGGGGGAGTAAATGTTTTTCTTTAATGTTTATTTAGTTTTGAGAGAGAGAGAGAGAGAGAGAGAGAGAGAGAGAGAGAGAACAAGCGGGGGAGGGGCAGAGAGAGAGGGAGACAGAATCCAAAGCAGGCTCCAGGCTCTGAGCTGTCAGCACAGAGCCAGATGCGGGGCTCAAACTCACGAACTGCGAGATCATGACTTGAACTGAAGTTGGATGCTTAATCAGCTGAGCCACCCAGGTGCCCTGGAAATGTTTTTGTTCAAAAAAAAAAAAAAATAAAAAAAAAAAAAAGAGTGCTCAGAATGCTTCTCTTACCCTTCCCGTCTTGTGGTTTCTTAATATTTGGCTTTCTTTTGGGTTTGTTTTCCTGAATTGGATGCTCAGTTGTTCCTTTTGTTTCTATATCATCTTGGTCATCCATCTGTCTTTCCAATATTGGGGTTCCATCTTCCATTGCAGTACAAACATCTGAGCAACAACCAGATGTAGTTCGAGTTATTAACTTCAAGAACTAGAACCACAGACATGCTAATTATTATACTGTTACATAGTTTGGCAGTACCTCTGCCTTCAGTTTATATATAACTTTCAAGATTTCTGGGACATATGCACTAAATATTTACATGTGCATATGGTAAAGAAAGTGGTTAAGTAATAAGTGGAATCCAAGTGAAAATGAAAGAATTTGTAAGGTTCCAACTTGAACCTTTCCTTGAAAATCATTATCTCTAGGTTGTTGGCAAAAATTGTTGCCAGGAAATAAACTATTTTGTTGCATTAAGAAAAGGCAGCTGCATAAATTACTTCAAGTATAAATCCAGGAAATCTTTAGAGAGTGCCTATCTTGGAATATTCTAGTGCATGAGATTCAGATGCTGTCTTCAGCGTAAAGCCACTGTTCACTGGGGCAGAGCAGTCCCACAGGGGTTTATGACAGCTTACCATTCATGCACAGTGTTCCAGGGCAGCACATGGCATTACGTTGGCACCTCCTTCGTAACCCGCGACATGTAGCACAGAATGGCCTCTCATCTTGAGGCTTGAGGCAGAATTTTCTGGAACTGCAGTCCTTGTCAGACAAGCACTGTGAACCCTGTAGGGAAAAATTTGTCACAGGCCGGGCAATCCAACAAGATGTAGGATGACTTTTAATTCAAAGTGGGAGATGGAGGAAGCCAAATCACAGTGGCACTTTGAATGCAGGGACAAACCTTAGGTGGCACCTTAATTTTTCAATATAATTGGTTTTATCCCACAAAGGAGAGACCAAGTTTCCAATGAAGAAATCTATGTGTTGCATAGGTTACTCGTGTTCGAAAAATTGTCCTAAAAAGTTGTCCTACTTTTAAAACTCAGGATTTAATTTTCTTATGCTCTTTCTGTAAGTGGAAGAAAATGTCTTCCCATGTGTGTCTTATAGATGGTTATGAGATTTTTTATTTATATCTGTTACCTCTAGAAGCTGTGCTACAGTTTAATTAAATATAATGTGGGTATTTGTGCCATTCCTATTTGATTTCTTTTCTCAAGTGAGTCCCATCAATCACTGCACCCATTTGCCAGCTAGCACCTCGGTGAGTCTTACCCAAGTGAACTGCCCCCTGCTCCCTAGTTGAACTTTACCTTCTGAGCCCCGTGCACGTCGGCAGAGCTCTTGATGTTGTTGAAGTCCAAAACCAGAGCACTCAGGGGGGCACAGAACCAGCTGAGCCCCAGCAAGAACACCACCGCCATCCTTCAATCACCTTGACCTTCTCAGCTCTCTCCGCGTTCTCCAGACTGGGCGGCAATAAACCTACAATAGAGCTTTTGCCAAAATGGAAACCCTGCAAGTCGTCCGTAACTGCTTTTCCTGAAGGAAAAACAAATCTTTGTCTAAGAAAGGTGTGTGAAATAGGATGAGTGAGGTCTAACCAGCAGATTCCTTCTGAAACGATTTATACCAGATGTGCCCCCCTCATCTCTCTCCACCTCCCTCCCTCCTCCTTCATTTCCTTCCTCCTTACCCCACACAGGCTTCAACAAATCCCTTCAGATCTGTTTGATCAATAGTTCAAAACAAGGACTCAATAGAGGGAGAGGAGAGGCAGGGCCACAGCGGCTTCTCCTCCAGGGGTTGAATCCCTCTTAATTATTGCATATCAAAGTTAGTTCAAAGGGTTAGCAGAAGAGCAGGATGTCTGTATCAAAGGCAAACTCTGATAATCACCTGCATTTCCTACCTTCAATAATCCTTTGGGGGTGGAGGGAGTCTGTTCTAAGATCTGTTTTCATGGCTAATTGTGCTCAAAGAAAGAATGAATCATATTGGCCAATATGCCGTCAAGGATGCCAAAAACTAATGAGTTACAAAATATCCTGAGAAGCTTTAAACTCTGCTTCAGATAGTGAAGACAGATAGAAAAGAGAGAAAATGCCTTCTGATTAGCTCTGGCATCCAGATGTAAAAATCCCAATGGCTTAAAAGCTGTGAGTATAATGGCACCTGTTCCAATTAAATGTCAATTGGAAAATAATCCTCCTTAAACTGAAAATTGAACTGTTTGAGGCTACGGTTATTTAATTAGGAAAACAATGAGATTTATAACAACCCTCCTCTCCTATTACTTGATGATGGGGGCAACCACAGAAAGTCTATTTTATGCAGATTCATACAATTCAATAGGAAGCTCTGGATGCATTTTATGTGCAATGTATTTACTTACTTTGTATTGCATTGGTTAAACTGACTTGAGCGGGGTGCCTGTGTGGATCAGTTAAGTGTCTGGCTGTTGATTTCAGCTCAGATCATGATCTCACAGTTTGTGAGATCAAACCCCACATCGGGCTTTGCGCTGACATCTTGGAATTCTCTCTCTCTCTGCCTCCCGCCCCACCCCCCATGCATGTGTGCACACTCTCTCAAAATAAATATATATATTTTTTTAAGTTAAAAAAAATTGACTCAAGCAGAACAGGTCTCCAGGTCTCTAGGACATTTCAGATGGAATGTCATTCATTTTCAATTTTTCCTAGTTTGAATTTTTGAAAACATCTTCTTCATCCCTTGGTGTCTCATTTTTTCGTTTTTCAGCCAGACTGTTAGAGAAGTCAAATCATTTAGACCTGTAATCACTGCCTAAGTATTTTAGCAGTGGAACAATCCAGATCTGGGCCAAAACATTCTTTTTTCTCACTCCTTGTTTCGTTGTTCTCAGTGTAGACTCATGCTGGTACCTCAGGTGAGAGGTGCCGTTTAAAATCTAAAAATGCAAGTATGCCTGGCTGGCTCGGCCAGTGGAGCATGGGCCTCTTGATCTTCGGGTTGTGGGTTCGAGTCCCACATTGGGTGTAGAGATTACTTAAAAATAAAATCTTTAACAACAACGACAAATCTAAAAATGCATCGTTTCTAAGCCATAAATGGCAGTCTTGGTATTGCTGGGTCTTCCTCCAGAACCCCAGCCCATTGAAATGTATCTCAACAGGCTGTACAATGGGAACATTTCCAGTCCTGAGTAATGGCTTGGTACCATTTAGCAGCAGGTGAGCTGAGGCTTCCTTTCCTCAGCTCTCTCCCTTGTGTTGGGGCTGCTTGTCTACCACTCATGTAGTACAAGAAGGAGCTACTTCTTCTGCAAGGATGCCTTTTTTTTTTTTTTGCTTCAACTGAAAACATCAAACACCCTTTGATAGTTATGATAAGCCTGATGACTAGGTGTGTTACAGGATTTATTTTGAAGTTGGACAATTATGACCAAGGATAAAGGAGAGAGCCTCAGGGTTCCCTCTCTGCTGGGGATCTCTGCTTCCTGTTACCTAACTGAAGAGAGAATATCAGGGTACCAAAGGCCTCTGGCAATAAACACAGACAAAAGGGCTGATGGGAAATCTTGTAACACAGCAAAAATATTCATTGAGCACTTTGTATGTAGCAGACCCTGTGGTTAGATGTTGGGAATAAATAAAACACAATCCTTGGCCCTGAGGAACCAGTGTCCAGTCAGAAGATACATGTATATCTAGGGATGATTCCAATATATTGTAACAAGTGCTAAGATAAAGGCATAAATGTGTGGCTGGAGGATCAGGGGATGGCATGACTAGACCCTCTAGAGAAATAAAGAAATGCATCTACAGAGGAGGTAATATTGGAGCTGGGTTTTGTGGGATGAGTAGGAGTTTCCTGGGCTGAGAAGCAGAGGATGGTCTCACCCCAGGCTCAGGGGGTGAAGTGTGTGGAGAGGCAGGGAGGTGTGTCTCAGTTCCAGGGAGAGATTGTGTCTGCCTGAGGCAGGTGGTAAAGGACACGATGAGGCTACACTATGAGGAACCTGATACACCATGCAAAGAAAACTGGATTTAACTTATGTGCGAAGTCATCGGAGATATGTAAGCTTGAAAATGGCATGACCTAAATTCCTTTTTAAGAAGGCATTGGTGGTGGCCACGTGGAACAGTAGTTGTAGTGGGTGAAAGGGGACACTGGGCCATCACTCAGGTCTCAGTTGCAATTCCCACATGATGAGGAGGAAGTCCAATGTAAGGCAGTGGCACAGTGGTGATGAGGACCAAGCAAAGGGTGGGGTTTTGAAGTTGAACCTCTGTCATCAGATGTGGGGGGTAGGGAGCCAGTGGGAAGGGAGGAGCTGAGAGAGTCGGCCAGTTCTAATCTCACACCCTGGGTGGGCTGTGGCAGCACTAAAGCAGAGAATTCAGGGTGAAAAGCAAGTTAGGGGCGGCAGGGTGACAGTTGGTCATGGGAAAAGCTATCCAGGTCATCAAGTCTTTGCTGGATATCTAATATCGAGGTGTTTTCCAGGAGTGACACTCTCCATCTGCCTCCCACAGACAGAGGGAGGAAGGATGCAGACATCAGACACCGGGGGGGGGGGGGGCTTACAAATAGGCATGGAATAGGACGGAAAAGCACACATGTCCGTGTCTGCACTGAATACGAGATTTGGGGTCAGACTGGCCTGAATCAATCACAACGCTGGCTTCTCCCGTGTCCCCACCACACCCACCTCCCCTGTGCATCCCTCTACCTATCATGGCACTTACAAAGCTCTTTTGTCTACTTATTTGTGTCTACAACCATATGATAAGCTCTGTGAAGGCAGGCCCACAGCTAATTCATCTTGATATCCTCATGCCTGGAGTGCCCGGCACTCAAGAGAAGCCCCACACAATTTTGATGTGATAGATGAATGCACAAATAAATGGATATATAGTGGGGCGCCTGGGTGGCGCAGTCAGTTGGGTGTCTGACTTCGACTCAGGCCATGATCTCATGGTTCACAAGTTCGAGCCCCGCGTCGGGCTCTGTGCTGACAGCTCAGAGCCTGGAGCTGCTTCAGATTCTGTGTCTCCCTCTCTGTCCCTCCCCCACTCACTCTCTCTCTCTGTCTCAAAAATAAAATAAACATGAAAAAATTTTGAAATGAATGTGGAGTAACTTTGTGGTGCTGGGCAAGTTACTTCATCTTTCCAGGCTGCAGTATCCCCTGCTGGAAGCTGGCTGCCCTCCTCCATAATGATGACATTTTGAGGGTTCGATGTGTGAAAACATGTGTAAGGGCCTGGGGCAGTCACTGGCACTCAACACTCCAAATACGTGTCTTTTACCTCTTTTCCAGGCCAGAACTTTCCAGTGTCACATAAACTTCAGTACCCAGCATGACACACAGCCCTTCCGTGGCAGGCTCTCCACAGATCTTTGTTCCACCAATTCATCAGGGAAGAATCTCCCCTAACCTCGGGCCTCATTTGGCAACAGGGCCACTATTTCTATGTCTCCTAAAAAGCCAGAGCAATTTTGAGGAAATTAAGTATGTGACATCTGCCTGGAAAGTAGCTTTTGGCATATTTTCAAATCTGCCAAGGCCACTGGTTCGTTCATAATCACAGCGTGCCTCAGTTGGGATGCCAGCAACTGAAAGGAGGTGCCCCTGTGGCAGCGTTTACTGCAAGGCTTCATCTCAGTCATCTGGGGCTTAGAGATGATGGGGCAGCGGGAAGAGGATGGCAGGGAGAGGGAAGGAGGGAGGGGACAGCTTTACAAACGTTTCTGCTTAAAAGGCATTTTCCCTGCTCTTAGGTCAGGGTGCCAAAGCACACACACTCAGACTGCAAGGACCTTGCAGAGGCTGTGGCTGCCTCTCAGAGAGACACCAGGAGCTCTGTCAGCCGCAGAACAAAGAAACCCTCACACACACTTTTGGCCGAGATGCTGCCATCTTGACACCCTCTGACAAGGATTAGGGGTTCACTGAAAATCTCAAGCTGATTCTCTTACTTCCACAATGAGCATCTGGGCCAAAAGAACATTCAGATGGAGCACGAGGGACTGAGCTTAGAAGAAGTGAAAATTCCCAGAGAAACCCCCAAGGGCCCCAGCTTCGGCTCTGTAGGTCACCTGCCGCTCCGTGGGTGACTCACGTTGTTTGTCCGGGAAGCACTGTGGGCTGGTGTGTGGGAGCAGACACCTGTATCCTCCGGAATAACAGCTGCTCTAGTTCAAGTCAAAGGCAGAGTGTCAGAACCCGTGATTTATAGTCACTTAGGAATGGAAATTTTTATTTGCTATGGCTCCTGTGTCAAAACCAGTTTGATTTCCATAAATTTTGCTTTCCTTAAAAGAAAATCAAAGTAACTGAAACAAGCAGGTCTTTGGCAGAATCTCACAGGAAATGTTCAATAAAATAAAAGATGAGAAGGGCATGTTGAGAGGAGACAGAGATTGCAGGATATAATCAAAGAGTTGCTGTAAACGTTACGGTTTAGTTACCTGAGGTCAGAAGGTAAAGCAAACCACTTGTAACAGCTGAGGAGTCATCTGTCAGATGTCTTGCAGCTAAGCATGGGGGCAGCGCTGGAGGCATTAAGGCAGAAGCCAGGGAGATGGGGTCCTGGCCTCTTCACTGACTGTGTGGCCTTGGCTTGGTCACATCATCTCCCAGCTAACCTCCTCATCTTTCCGAGAGCCTCTTACAGACCAGTGTTCTGGGAGTTTACAGGGGGGTCCCTGGCCACCATGTTGCTCAGCTCCAGGAGATTGTTTGGACGCTAGTCTGTGTGAATCACCCCCTTTGGAGTCTACCCCCAA